GCCTTCACATCCCTGCTGCCCCTACCCACCCGCTCAGAGCTCAGAAGCCCACTGGCCTTCGGCACCCAGCGCCACCTCCCTCTCTGGCTCCATCCCCATCCCTCCCGGGCCTCCATGCTGCCCTCCAGCCGCACGGCCTGCCTGCTCCAGGCCTTTCCTTCTTGTGCCCGGTGGCCTGTCCTCTGTGACCCTGACCTAGACCCAGCCGCCTAGACTGCCAGTTCCTCCACAGCCCAGAGCTGTCACGGAGGTTCAGGGCTGGGCTCGAAGATTCAGCCGACCAAGGTCGGAACCCAGTAGTATGACCTTGGGCCAGTTGCTTGGTCTTCCTGTGGAAGAATCATAGATGCCCCTGGGTTTGAATGAGCCGTAAATGAGAGACGTAGGTAAACTGCAGGGATAATTACAGCACCTGGGAAAGGTCACCACCTTCTTCCTCTAAGAGGTCTTCCCGGAGCAGTATCGCAGTTTCCAGGGGCTTCCCCCTCCAGTCAACGTCTAGAGCACAGAACGTTTTCAGGTTTCAGCCAACACACAGTCACATACAGGACCTAGAGCTCCAAGCTCATGGTATATTATTTTATGTTGTTGAAGGGAACTTTAAGGTGTTGGGTTTTCTTATTTTTGCGAGCAAGACTCATAATGACCACAAGCTTGGGCAAGGGGTCGTCAGTCAGTGTAAAGAAATATTTGTGGAGGGGCGCCTGGGTGGCTTAGTCGGTTAAGTGGCTGCCTTCGGCTCAGGTCATGATCCCAGGGTCCTGGGATCGAGCCCCGCGCCGGGCTCCCTGCTCAGTGGGGAGTCTGCTTCTCCCTCTGCCTGCCTCTCTGCCTACTTGTGCTCTCTCTCTATCTCTTTGTCAAATAAATAAATAAAGTCTTAAAAAAAAAAAAAGAAAGAAAGAAATATTTGTGGAATGCATCTAAACCCTGGCCATCAGGAGTCCCCCCTTGCGGCCACAAACCCCGGCCATCAGGAGTCCCCCCTTGAGGCCCTGGTGTGGTTTCTAACATGCCTGGCTAACACGGGTTTCTCCTCTTTCTCTCAGCCCATACTACTGACTGCCTCTACCCAATCCCCTAGACCTTGACCACATCCAGTTCAGCACCTTACCATGTCTGGGTCTATTGTTGTCATTTTACATATTTACGCCCCTTATAATTCCATACGGAACACAGGCGGCCTCTTAGGGCCCAGTAAATGTGGTGGTTTTGGCCAGAGGTCCATCTGCAGCCAGGATCCTGTCAGTGTCCTGGAGCCAGGGGAGAAACATAGCTTAAACCATGTTAACCCACCTGAGGGAGTTAAGGGGAAACGAGAGGGGCCTGGGATGGGCCTGGAAGCAGACGCTGAGAAATGAGGTCCAAGCAAGGACTAGTTAAGAGGAAGCTGGTGCTGGGATACCAGTAACACTGTGTTGGGAAATTTGAGGGGAATAAGCTTTTTCCTTCTTTCTTGCAGAATCTCGCATAAGAGATTCCTTCTTGACTGGCCTTAGTTCTGATGGGAAAGGCCCCAGTGTTTGCCTCTGGAGGCTGCCGTGACAGATCAGCACAAACAGGGTAGCTTGAAAGAATAGAAGTTTGGGCGCCTGGGTGGCTCAGTTGGTTAAGCGACTGCCTTCGGCTCAGGTCATGATCCTGGAGTCCCGGGATCGAGTCCCGCGTTGGGCTCCCT